TATTAACATCATCCCTGCACACACACTCACAAAGCAACCACCTAACACCACATGCATGCTGGTTGTTTTTTAATGGGAATAAGAAACATCTAAAATTGGCCAAGAGGAAAAAAAAACCTGGAAGCAAAAGTTACCTTTGCCAAAGCTTTTCAAATTCCTCACTGCCCATGGGGAAGCCCATCTTGCTAAGCATGTTCTTAAACTCAGGCTTCAGAATCCTCACATCACTTTCTGGGTTCTTCTGGGGTATCAGATCAGCAATATCCAGTGACCTGTTTTCAATATACAAGATTGTCCTTAACTTATTTATCCTTGTGGAACTTGCCCAGTTACACAACCATTCTTCATTCTCTGGCAAGTACAAAATTATAACATTCCTGTTGAAAAGAATAGCCACATTTGGGAGTCTTCTCTGCAGTTACATCATCCCCAATTGGTGGAAAAAACTGAGAAGGTAATTAAGTTTTGCTCAATTTTGTTTTTTAAATCCTTAGTGAGCCTTGTTCTCTTTCTAAATGATCCTCATAAAAGGGTTCACTTTCCCTCCCTCCTAAGCTCACTGTATGGTTTAGGATGCTGACAAGGTCAAATTTGATACACCTTCAGCCTCCACTCTGTAGAATCTTTGATGCTCAAAAGGAAGAACTGAAATCCTAGTATTTGAAAGCTAAAAACAGACTCTATGCCTTTCAAAATATAGTGCAATAATGTATTATATATGCATCAGTTATTGGAGAATTTCCATGTCCAGAGGCAAATTCCCAGCCCCCCTATTTCCCTGGAAAAATCAAGTGACTCTGCACATACAGAACTCCCATTTCCCTCCATTTTAGCTACTGAATAAATTAGGACAATGTTTGGGAGTGGAGAGACAGGGGAGAGAAAGAAGTAGTGCCATTATCTAATAGTGCTATCAAACTATAAATGAGGATCATGCAGCTAAGAAGCTATACTCTCTGTAGATCTAACTCACGCAGGACCTCCTTTGCTTTTTTATGATATATAATAAAGAACAACAAGATTTTTCCCTCTTCTAAATAGGGGGAGAAAGAGTTCTGCTTGTATTTCTTTCTTAGAAATATCCTTAAGCAGCAGTATTACTTTATGAATGAAAATTGTGTCCAGTTTCTGGCACTTCAAAATAATCTGCCATGAGGACTACTTATTTCCACCTCCCGCTCTCATCATACTCCCCACAACCTGAAGAATCAACTGTCAGACAAATTATAACTGGAAATTAGATGGAAATTTCTACCACTAAGTGTTATTAAACATTACAACACCTTACCAGGGGATGTGGTGGATTTGCCATCTCCTGATATTTTAAAATCAAGAATAGATACCTTTCTGAAAGATATGCCCTAGGTCAACCATGGGACCTTGTTGTTAATATAGGAATCATTGAGTGAAGTTCTGTTGCTTCTGTTACACCAGAGGTCAGGCTAAGTGAACACAATGATCCTTCCTAGGTGTGAAACCATACTGCTTCACTTTTTCTTTCAGTTGCACATGAACCTGTGATGCAGTCATTGTAGGTCTATCCGTATGTCTGTGACTGACTGGATCAAGCCAGGTTGTAGCCCCAGAAATAGCAGGGTCACGGACTGCTGCATATAACTCTTCAAACTTGATAATGGTTTTGTCCTGTAACTTAAGCCTGTTCAACATAGAATCAGGAATGTTTGTTTTTAGTTTGTATTTTCTTCAGTGACAGAAAAGATAAAGATCATTTACAGATAGAGAGGCAGAACAAACAAATTGCAACTTTCTTCCTTCTAATACAGGGGCGGGCAATTATTTAGGGCAGAAGGCTGCTTACTGAGTTTTGGCAAGCCATCAAGGGCCTCATGACAGGCAGCCCAGGGCAGATAAATATTAATTTTCTAAATTTTTAAGGGGCCCCGCAGGCTGGATACAATGGCCTGGCAGGCCACATCTGGCCCTGGGGCCGTATTTTGCCCACCCCTGTTCTAATATATTGGATCCATATATCGGATACAAAAGAGAAATCTAGTGGGTGTCAATTACTTACATACTAGTATTTGTATTAACTGTGTTATAATTAGTTAATATGAATTCTACTAAGCTAATGATTATCATGCTGATTATTTACAGTGACTCAGCTCCATGACAGAGAGGCCTATACTCTAAGCTTCCCAAAGAAACAAAAATCTAATTCAGCCTCTTACATAAAAAACCATGGATAAAGGTCAGCAAAATTTAGATAGCAAGACTGGAAAATAATAAAAAGTTTTTAAAGATGACTGTCCCCCAAGGACTAACTCTCTACTGAAACTCCAAGCTTAGTTTAGCTGATTAATACCGTACAGCAGTGGTGCTGAACCTATGGTCCATGGGCCCATGGAGCCATGTCATCCAGCCAGTCAGGCTCCCCGTGGAAATTAGCACTCCTCAGGTCCTATGAGCCACACCTGACTACAGACTAGCCCAGCAAGCTGGATCCAATTCACATGCAGGGTTGTGTCATCTGGCCTATGGAGCTCCTCATGGGTCATAGCATGACATACAGAAGTAGGGCCAAAAGGGATCTTCAGAGGTCATCTAATTCACACCCCCTGCCTGAGGCAGGATCATCCCTATTCAGACCACCCATACAACCATAATCTAAACTCTATATAAGACTACTATCAAGCCGGACACAATATAGACCTAATCCCCTAACCTGCCACAGGTAAAGCAGGGGAGCCACAGCAGCCAATGTCCTGATTCTATGAAATGCTGACAACATGCACTTAAGAGGTCCCAAGTGGAGGTCCCTGTCAGCCCTACTTCTCTATGACTCTGACACAACCATGTAGGCAAAACTTTGTAGTGCAGCCTTGGTTTCTATTTGCTCTTTTCCGGCAAAGTACAGAAAAGAGCAAATAGAAACTATGCTGGACATAGTCTTTAAACTATGTCCAACTAACAGAATTTTAAATATTATATATAAAGCTCCTCAAGTTATGAATCTGTGAATAGAAGGAAATTGTATCAACCACTGACAAATATAAATTTTCTCAGTCAGTTCCAGTGGTAAACATGCCTGAAATGTTATCAAGAGTAACATGGCTATTACTGTGCTATGATGATTGCTGGAAGCTGATAAGGCAGTGATATTCACACAAAGAACCTATTATTGTTAACACAATATAAATACATTATTTCTCAGTAACTATGTAATTATTTTGTTTCAATGAAGAAAGGTAAGTCTGAGCAAACTATTAGGAAAAACTTCACAGTGTGTATTCTTTTATCACTTGCTCTAATTTTCCACCAATATTACACCACTGATCACAGGAGTAATTCATGATTTATGGAGTATTGATGGTTAGACTTGTCATCCATCAGTTTGGCATAATAAAATAAAATCAACCCTGCATTGTGCAGGAAGATGGTTAGAGAACCAACACAGTCCCATGGCAACCTAGAGGAGGCCATGAAGAAGGAGCAGTTTGAAGGACTGGCATCAGGAAAGCTACTTTTAATACTTGTCTTTTAAAGATAAAACTGAGCTTTCAGAATGTAAAAGTATATAGATATATTTTAGATCATGCAATTTAGGGTTGTGGCTCTATTTTACTCGTAAATAAACCACATTTTTCTAGTTTGAAACTACTACACAGACAGAAGCATTACACAAAGAATAAATATTCTTGATTGTGATGTATTACAAAGTATTATGAACAGTTTACAAGCCTTTTTCTGGCATTTTTAGCTTTCATTTGCTCACATACATTACAAGAAGTTGCTGACACTGCTTGGAGCTGATATACCTCCCCAGAAATTTGGTCAGCATCACGAGAAGCACATCTCTATGAATAAATAAAAATATGCGTTATATTTATAGAGTGATTATATTCATCCCATCTCTGTATAGTAAACAAAGAAAAAAATGAGGTACTATCAGTGTAGGAAAGAGGAAAAGGGGGGAGGGAAGAAGAGAGAGAGAAAGAGACAGAAAAAATGTAGAGTATTTTATGGTATTAAATACATGGGAAGGGACGCCTGGGTTTGCCTGGTTACTTATTGATACACATGCATATACCAAAGCCAAGTATCAAGTGCTGCATAATGATACAGAAATACAAACTCCTTTGTGAGGTACATACCTATTGACCTGCTCTTTGCCTTCAGTTCAGGGTCATTGTTTTTGAAGAGTTGTCTCATAGGAAAATACCCTCCAGATGTCATTTTCTCACACAAAAGGTGCTCCAGCTAGGAAATATATGAGTTCAGTAGCAATTATGCAAATGTCATGTGCATGTCTAACATGCACTTCTTATTCATTTTCCCCCTAAATAAGAATTGAAAATCAGCCATCACATAAAAGATGGTGAGAATTCAGAAAGGAAAATCTAATTCACAATGCAATGATGTATTTTTGGTAACCAACTACTTTCTGTAACAATATTCTGTTCAACTGTAAAACTGGTTTTCAAACAGTGTTGCATGTTTGCACTGAGGGACGTTTATTGGTATTGCCAGAATAAATATGAGCTTTGCTTTCTCTTTTATCACTGAACCACGTGTTGCCAGGTTACATTTTTGAGAAAACCCCTCTAGCTATGAGCCTAATTCTGATGCCTTTATTGGTTCCTATTCAGATAAAATGTCCATTGTCTTCAGTGGGACTTTTCAAGTCAGGACTCCATTCAATAAGGGTAAACTAGTTTTGGAATACTGATGAAAGCACCTGTGCAACATTTCGGAATTCAATTAACACTTTGGAGGATGTTGCTTGGTAACTAATTGTACAGTTATTCCACCTGTTTTCTGTTTGATTGAGACCTTGTAAAAATATGTATTACAAGACTTGCGCTAAACTTTACTGGGGAACTTGTTAAAATGGGAAACTGTAGTATGAAGAAAACCATTTTAATAGCCCACTTGGCTTTCAGGGCAAAATAGGGAGCTGTAGGTGCATTTCCTGTATGCCAATTCATAAGGTCGATGACAGAGAATGTTAAGTAGCAATTTTACTCCATCCTTACTGATCATCTTTACTGATCTGGATAGTATGCGACTGTATGTGATCAAAACCATACCTCCTCAGCATCAGTCCTGAGCTGTGTCCCAGACTGAGACTAAACTTGTCCTGCTGCTGGCAAAGCTGCCTCTGCTTTCTACTTGAGTTCCAACGTCAGCTCGTTGCCCTGGGTCATGAAAAAAAATCAACTGAAAGAAAATCTGAATTGTGTGTATAGATAGAGAGGTTTAGTAGACAGGGTGCAACACCAAGAGTTAAAAGGCCTGGGTTTTTGCCTGAGCTCTGCTACTGATTAGTTAAATAACCCTATGGAAGCAACTGAGTGTCTTTCTGCCTTGTTTTTCTTAAATGGAGTTTAAACATATTGGGTTACATTTTGTATTAATGGTAGATTGATGCAAAGTGTTAAGAAATGGTAAATCAATTATTTATTATGGATTGTTACAGGGCCTAAAAGGGCAATAGGTTGTTTATAACCATGGCCTGTAACAATCTACAATGCCTTCTGCTGATGTGCTTATAGCCATCCTTAACACACTGATGTGTAATGGATGGAGTAGATGAATAGATGTTCCAAACTATTATAAATGTACCCATGATACAAACTATGGCCAGATAAAGGTAGTATAACTGCATCCACATGACACAGTAAATGGGTTAATTAATGTGGGGACAAGCCAATTGGTATTATCACTCAACACCATTTCCTAGCCTGCCTACACTGCCACTGCTTAGGAGGTAGCCCACCAAGGAAAGCACAGCATGCTTGAGGGTGCTGTTGCTGATAAATTAGCATCATGAAAGAGCAGTTCAGAGTGGATTATTTTCAGGTGTTGGCACGTATGAAGCTGAGGCTCTGCTGAGGCAGCTTTTATGGCAGCATTCCCAGCTGTGAGGTGGAAGCAGTGTAGACTTGCTGGCTAGGGACAGAAGTTACACGTAAATGGGCTTAGGTGATCAGAAACTAATTTAAACCTGCAACAGAACAGAAATTCAGTGCACATAAACCATTTTCAAAATGACCAAAACTGGTTTAAGATAAACCTGGTTGAATGCAATATCAGATTTAACTGATTGAGGTCAAACCTGTTTATGGAACTTCTGTCCCAGACAACCTTCAGAGCCCCCAGCCTCTGAGAGCGGGGCTGGCTCCACCCCTCTGCTCTCTAGCTGGAGCAGGGGTGGGGGCATGGCCCCCTGAGGCAAAGGGGGCAGGGAGGGGATTTATTCCCCCCTCCCTCCTCTCTCCCCCCAGGGGACCCCAGCCAGGATCTGCCTGGCCAGGGCAGAGCAGCCCTTGTCAAGCATTCCCCCACCCTTGCTGCTGGAGCCGTGGGGAGCATGGCTGGCCCCAGCAGCAGCCTCAAGTGAACAGGGGATGGATGGAGATTTAATTCCCCTCTCCCTCTCCTGTCCTACTGGCATAGACCCCAGCCAGGGTCTGCCTAGCTTCTCCACCCTGCTTGTGGCTCAGCATGGCCCGGGACCCCTAGAGTCCCCTCCCAGCCAGGGGGCAATCCTGCTGTGCCTTCCCAGCTGCCTGGGCTGAAGTTTCATTTGAGGCAGCCCAGGAGAAAAGGCCAGATTGGGGAGAGGGAAGGGAGCAAAACAGCCCCAAGTCCAGGTGGGGATCAGGGAAGGGGCTCAAGTGTGTCAGCACTAACCCAGGGCACAGCCAAGCCAAGCCGAGCTGAGCATGCAGCTGGGGAAGCAGCTCCTGCCTGGTAGCCCCTTCTATCCACTGGAGAGTGGAGCCAGGGCTGGCCCTGGCCCTGGCCCTGGCCCTGGCCCTGGCCCCAAGAGTGGCATGCACAGCATGGGTTCACCCCTTCAGCCCCAGCACTATTATCTGTGTCCCCCAGCTTCCAGGTGCTGAGCTGGGTATGCACTGCTGACTCTTCCTCTACCTGGCAGTGGCAGCAGCACAATATGACAAAGGTCACAAAAGCCTTGGACACAGGTGTTGCAGTGGACGTAGTTGTTCTGGACTTTAGGAAGGCCTTCAACACTGTCTCTCACCCCATCCTCATTAAAAAATTAGGCGACTGTGGTGTAGGCACCTACACAGTCAGATGGGTCGCTAATTGGCTAGAGGGCCGCACCCAGAGAGAGGTGGTGGACAGGTCATTTTTAACCTGGAGGGACATGGGCAGTGGGGTCCCCCAGGGCTCAGTCCTCGGGCCCACACTGTTCAATATCTTCATCACTGACTTGGATGAGGGAGTGAAAAGTACTTTGTTCAAGTTTGCAGATGACACTAAGGTGTGGGGAGAAGTGAGCATGCTAGAAGAGAGGGACAGGCTACAACTAGATCTGGACAGGTTACAGAGGTGGGCGGATGAGAATAGGATGGGATTCAATACAGACAAGTGCAAGGTGCTGCACCTGGGGAGGAAGAACCAGCAGCATACCTACAGGCTGGGAAACTCCCTTCTAGACAGCACAGAGGCAGAAAAGGATCTTGGATTCCCTACTGATTCCAAGATGAACATGGGCCGCCAATGTGGGGAAGCGGTCAGGAAGGCTAACTGCACCTTGTCATGCATCCATTGATGCATCACAAGTAGGTCCAAGGAGGTGATCCTCCCTCTCTATGCAATGTTGGTCAGGCCGCAGTGAAATACTGTATCCAGTTCTGGGCGCTGCACTTCAGGAGGGATGTGGATAGCATCAAGAGGGTCCAGAGGAGGGCCACGCACATGATCAGGGGGCAGCAGGGCAGGCCCTACAAGGAGAGGCTACAAGACCTGAACCTGTTCAGCCTCCACAAGAGAAGGCTGAGAGGGGATCTGATGGCCACCTATAAGCTTGCCAAGGGGGACCAGCAGGCAATAGAAGAGTTCCTGCTCCTCCAAGCACTACTGGGAGTTACAAGGAATAATGGCCATAAGCTGAATAAGAGTAGATTCAGGCTGGACATCAGGAGGCACTACTTCAAAGTCAGGGCGGCTAGGATCTGGAACCAACCTCCAAGGGAAGTGGTGCTTGTCCCTACCCTAGAGGTCTTCAAAAGGAGGCTAGACAATCACCTAGCTGGGGTCATTTGACAGTTGCATCATAACAGCTCATAGCAGTATCATTTGCCATCAATACACTTGTTATATCTATCTATAATCACAGACTGTTGATAGAATCATCAGTACTTTTTATATATGTTGGCCTTAACCTCCACAGAAAAAAGCAGGAACACATAAAGAAACACAAGGTGGGTGGCCTTATTGTCATCATCAGCCCAGAAATTCTGGGGCTAGGCAAAGACATTCAAAAAGCCTGAACCTGAATTGATTCAATCTTTGCAGGTTAGTCTAACCTGGCCAGGCTAAATCACTTTGTAACTGTGAAAACCTCCCAGAAATGCAGGCACATGCCTGCAGTGGCTCAGGCTAGAAGCCAGGGGGTGCTAGTGCAGCCCTCCTGTCCCTTCCACAGCAGAGCTGAGGTGGGGCATGGCCAGGACCCAGCAGGATGCTCTGATTAGCCCAACAGGGAATTGATAACACAGTGTTTATCACCCC